ACACACGAACGCACGCACTCCCCGCATGCCACCGAGAGAGGCATTGAAGAGAGAGAGAGAGAGAGAGAGAGAGAGAGAGACACGAACGCACGCACTCCCGCATACAGCGAGAGAGCGCGAGTGAAAGAGAGAGAGAGAGGGGGGGGAGAGAGAAAGAGAGATGCGCGCGGAGAGAGAGCAGCAGACACGCAACTGACACGCACTCCCGCATACAGCGAGAGAGGGCAAGTGAAAGAGAGAGAGAGAAAGAGTGAATAGAGAGAAGAGGAGAGAGAGCGCGAGAGAGAGGGAGAGACGAGAGAGAGAGAGAGAGAGAGAAGAGAGCACGAGAGCGTCGCAGAGATAGAAGATGCAGATAGATAGCGATAGAATGAGACACGAACGCACGCCGCTCTCTAGCTAGTTTAGCTGCCACCAAGCCGACTAAATACATGAGATTTCATCTCGTGAATATGCGTAGGGCTGGAAATAATTAACGTCTTAAACATAATAATGAAGTCGCTACAGTGAACGAAGTCTGTTATTTCCGTCACAATTTGTCACGCGATGGCGCCACTAGCTTAACGGGAAGCGCTCTGGTAGACGGGCACACGTCTTTCGACACAAACTGCCCAAAAGCACTGTTGGTACAACCAAATCATGACCAAATTGTGTAGCCAGTCTATAGTTATGGTGTAAACATGACGAAAGGCGGCCAACCTGAACAACTCGCTCAAACTTGCGAGTTTAACCTACATAAATGTAGTCTGACTGATATACCCAGGTCGGCTCACTTGGAGTTGTCAGTGAACCATGTGAGGTAAATATTAAACGCGCGTGTAAGGAATAAATAGCTTATAGCCAGCAGGGCTTTTGGCAGTTTTGGCTTTTGCCCTCAATGGCCCGTTTGGCCCTTGGAAGTTGGACTGCTGGTGGCGTAAACCGACCAGGCTCTCCGATTGTTTCGATTACACGTCGTAGGAGCCAACGTAGTAGGAGCCTCTCACCAACGTAGTATTAAGCGAGAAGGGAACTTGAAGTTGTGACTACTGGTGGCGGTGCTTTCGTTTGGCTAATCTAGAGTAGAGCCTAGAGCCGAGGTTATGCGGTTCTAGTACGTGTGCTGAAAGTGTTTCATCTGGAAGCTGGCATGTGCCTTCTGCTGAGTATGCAAATCTATGCATTTCATTAGAATGGCTGCGTCAAAATGATGGTAAATAAACACGACATGTATTTACTACCAAAGTAACTACAGTACAGTTTTTCTACTGTCTTTCGCCTATTGTTGCCGATAAAGAGTATCTTTATTCTTGTTGTTTGTGCACAGCGACGCGCATTCGATATACTTGTGTGTTGCAGAGGAGCATTTGAACGGCATTTACAGGAAATTAGCGGCAATAATAGGCAAAGGAGAGTAGAGAAACATTAAGACTTTGGTAGTAAATACATTTTGTGTTTATTTACCATCATTTTACTATCGAAACATTCCAAGTGCCTGTGCTGCAGCGTAGCTAGTGTAATCTAGATAAGTCATTAATTTAATTGTAATTGTAATTTGATGTTATATTGCTGGTAATGTAATACTGTGAATGGAACTTGCAAAGGCTCAAAGGTGGTTATTAAATTTTAGGTTGATTACTTGACAGAGTGTGGCCAAGTGCTGAAACATGAGTAGCATCAGGGTCTTACCGTCTTATCAGTTAGAGATAATGTTGAATGTTTCATTTCAGACATAAAGCACGTTTCAAAAGGCGGGAGATATGTCACATTCATCGTGGCTCCTGATTGTTTTGGCTCTCGGTGCATTACCGAGGTCAGAGAGCCATATTCGCTTGATTTTTCCACCTGCTAGAAAATATGACTTTGATGCTCTAGACAACATTGACTCTGAAGGACCATGTGGCATGCCAAGAGGTAGAAATGATCATATGTATATATATATATATATATATATATACATATTATAAACGTTGTTGTTAACATTTTCTGTTGAACCAAACATTTGTGTATGGTGGTGTAAAATCTTCGGTTGGATCCACAATCTGCTGGATGAAGAGATAACATGGTTAGAAATTGCACGTTTTTAAAAGCGAGGATTATGTGACAACACCTTTGGTTCAAAAACCTCAAAAGTTTTTAATGGCAGCTTTTAAAACCTTGTTTTTTGAGGCATGGTGTAAATATGGCTTACACATATTGCTATCAAAGAAATGACCATTTAAATTCATTCAGAACAAACTGTGATATACAAATGCTTAAAACTATGACTTAAGCCTTAAAACTGTACAACTTATGTGTAGAAGTTTGCCACGTGAAGCTATCCTACAAGAACGAAAAGTACCGACATTATTTTAAGGGTTTGGACCAAAAACGTCGCTAGTGACGGGGTCATCTGTGAATGTTGTGTGGAACATGGCATGGATAGGGCCAGCCTCCATTCGCCCTCTTCTCAAGTACAGTATTGAGCTGCTAGACACTAACGACAAGGTGATCACGGAGCTGGCCAGTGCAAAGTATTTTGTCAGTGCTGATGATGAGGTGCCTGGACTTGCCCGTGTCATTCAACTGCCTGCAAATCTCACAGGTAGAAACAACTGCAAATATATAGCATTTTTATTGATGTTTGGTTTAATTTTTGTTTAATCCTAATAAACACATGAATTCTTTTTCACATGTTTACTTAATTGTGCAATATGGTTGCATTATTTCATTGCGTTACTGTGTTGGTAAGTCATTTCAGATATGAGCTATGTGCTGCATTTAATTTCAGTTTGCAAACTCATCGTGACTGGTTATCATATAGTGTAAATAAAATTAATGTAATCTTAAATGTGAATGAATGTAATTTCATAAATATTATTAGTATCTAGTATATTATTATCAATAATATTATATTGATGCTTTTCTCACAGGTTTGAACTTTGTACTTCGCATGTCATCGAATCTTCCAGAGAACATTACGTTCTGGAGTTGTTCTGACGTTGATATCATTCAGAAAGGTAACGTACACATACCCCGGCAACAAATGACCATAAGTTCACGAAATCACTTCCTCTAAATAGTTAATAAAAATCTCAGCTCTCAACTGAGTCAGATAAGAGAAATTTTGTGATGTAGCATATATTACTCGTCAACAATAAAAAATATTGATTCAGTTGAAATCATTTAATTCGCAGGTGTTTGTTAGCTGTCAAAAAAAAGTTGAAAATTAAAATGTCAAACGTGTAATAACAGTTTATGTGTTGTAACAGCTGACGTGGATTTGGTGGGTTCACGAGAGTTCTGCTCTGGAAACGGTGACCTCAAAAATGAAGACTGCTTGTGCGACTACCTCTACTCTGGCGAGAGATGTCAGTTTGAGGATGAATGCTGGAAGGACATCGATTGTGGATCAGGAAGAGGTCAGCATTTAATGTTATGATTTCTTTCTTTCTTTTTTTTTTTCTTCTATATTAATATTATTATGTGTGTTTCCTGTATTGTTGGAGTTATTTTAATAACACCTGGTATGTTGAAAAGGAGGTGTAAGAATAATGGTGTAGCAATATATCGAGTGGTTATAAGAAACTCTTATCTCGACATAAGAGTACTTTTTATTTTACGAAATTTCTATTATCAAGAGCATATAAAGAAGGAGAGTGTACAACGGTAAAATGCTGAAACCATGTTGCAGTATTAGTCGAATTAATAAACTTTCCCCGTTTTATTTTGACGATTCTTTGCAGTATTATTGATCAGCTGTCCTACCTTGTTAATATAAAACAAACTGCATATCCTTACGATGCCCTTACGCTGAGATAATGAGCGGTGAAAATCTGGTATTTTCGCCGAAAACCGACTCGACATCAGTTAGTACTGCTACTGCAACTGTCTCTCGTTCTGGCGATAGTTTCGGGAAACCTCGCGTGTTTCCGTCATTCATTGACAATGAAATTTATTTTCCTTCTACTATCTTTTCTCGCATTTCCAGTCATTGACGCAGCCATTACTCCACAAAAACGTCTTGTTATTTATCGCCATGGTGATGACCCGCCCTTTACGCTGAATGTAATAACGCTGAATGTAATAACGTATCGGGTCAGCGCTACACAGCGGCGACCGGAAGCCACATACAGTGCACAAAACGAAAATACCAGATTTCCACCGCTCATTATCTCAGCGTAGGGGCATCGTAGGAACATGCACAAGGTAGGACAGCTGATCAATAATACTGCAAAGAATCGTCAAAATACAACGGGGAAAGTTTATTAATTCGACTAATCCTGCAACATGGTTTCAGCATTTTATCGTTGTATGCTCTCCATCTTTATACGCTCTTGCTATTATGTTATTAGCCGCGTTAACACGTAGCAAGAAATCCGGTATTTAGCGTTCCCACGAGGCAAAATACGAGGCCCAAGAAATACGGTATCTGAACAGATCCGGTATTTCATGTAAATACGAGGCTTCCCAGACCCCGAATAATTTGCCGTGCTTCAGAAATACCGGATTTCTTGGACCGCGCATTTCCTCGTGTGAACGCTAAATACCGGATTTCTGAAGCCGCGTATTT